ATCCTTTCCCCACGTGGTCTCACCCAAGATGGCGGCTCCTGGAGCAGCCGAGCGTCCCAGACTAGAAAGCAATGGATTTCTTGCTTCTGCCACAAATTTCCCCAGCTGTAAGCCTTCCAACCTTCTAAGTATTCTTTTATATGTGGTTCAGAGTTCTGGGACCATCCCCTGATCCTACTTGGTTGGGTATTATGTGTTGTTGTTGGTGGAGCTCTCTGCTATGCATCCGCCCAATCCGCCATCTTGTTTGTTCCTCCCTCACTGGTATTTAACAGTAACAAAAACCTTGCTTTTTAGTACCTGACTAAACATTTGGTGAGCTTTGACCTTAACACTCCCCTTTAACAGGTTCTCTGGCTTCTTTTAAACTTCAGATACATGTTAGAGATACTTCCATGCCAACTCTAGACAAAGGCAAATTTCTTGGGATTTTTTTTTAAATACTACTTGCCTTACTTTCATCCCCAGACTTGCCAGATGCACCTAGGAGTGGTCGGTCCTCTGGCTGCAGCCCTGAAAGGAGTATTTATGTTTTTACTGGATGAGCTGCTAACTACAAGGTCAGCAGTTCAAACCCACCAGATTCAGAGTCACCATGAGTCAGAATTGACTTGATGGCACTTAACAACAACAATAACATATATGGGTGTAGCCAGTAACAATCATATTTAACCAGAGTCTGGATATTTAAGAATCGTGTGAGGCCTCACTCCTCTCAATACTATGGCTACTAAAAAAACGGAGTGACACTTCTACCCACAACTCCTCCTTTGCAAAAGAAGAGAGGTAGTGCAAACCATCTGTTACAAGTTAGAAGCCTGACATTTGGCCATTTGTCATTAAGTTTTCTTGGCTTTTGTTATTTTAGACCTAGGAACGACTTGAAGGTCGAGCTGCTAGTTTTGCTGATGTGACTAGACACTTGGTAACAGTAAGCGTATTGGCAGAGTGACTGATAACAAGCAAGCTATATTCCTCTCTTTATACATCTTCCCCTATAAGCATGCTAACACTGTTATTTTATGTTGTTTCTGAGAGTATTAACATCATAATTGTTTGATTGATTAACATCAATCAATTATCAAGGTACCCACAGAGGAGCCCTGGTGTGACACCATAGGATAAGCACTGAACTGCTAACCACAAGACAGTGGTTCAAACCCACAAGCTACTCTTCAGAAACCCTATACAAGGTCACTATGAGTCGGAACCAGCTCCATGCACTTAACCACAGCAAGGCACCCTGGTGGTGCAAAAATAAAGTACTTGGCAAACTGAAAAGTTGGCACGTCAAACTCACCTAGGGACTCCAAAGACAAAGACCACACAATGTAATTGTGTAAAGATTGTTGTTCTTGTTGAGTGCCTTCAAGTCAGTTCCCTGTGTAGGGTTTCTGAGAAGCAACTGGTGGGTTTGAATTGTCCCCTTGAGGTTCAAATCGACCTTGTGGTCTAGTGCAATTCGAGAATACCCATCAATCAATTCCTTTATATATGAAATTCAAGACTGAGGTATGAATTGATTAAAGTTGCTTCTCCTATTTTATGTGGTTAGATTCTATTAATGTCTGTGAATCTCTCAGGTGATTTTAACCTCACTGACCCTGTGGGAAAACCCAGTGGATCTATTCAAATGAAACTAGATTGGAAGTCTCACTACCTGCCCCCAGAGAACGTCCTGAAAACAGAAGCTAATACTGAGGAGAATGACATCAAGGACAGTTCAGAGACCTTATCTGAAGAGGAAATGACTTCCTTTCATTCCCAGGTAGAATGTATCTGCCAATCTTACGGAGCATATTTGAGGGAAACAGTATTAAAATTGGAGTGAAAGAAATTCCTTCTCTGAATGTGATGTATTCTATGAACTTAATCTACATCCCATAGTGATATGAAACTATTGATGGAACGAAACCCTGGATTTTATTGTGGGGAGTAGAGAGATGGTGTCTTACAGCTATTTGCAAGGAATGAATGGCATCAAATTCTAGCTAGTAAACTCCTTTTTTTTTTGAGTAGAAAGATGGTAAAGCTATTATCTTGTACTACTGTTTCTGATCCTTCTTACTTAGGACCAGATAGCATCTGTTGAGATTCTCACTGAGTCTCAAGTAAAGAGAAAATCTTCTCAGATGAAAGAAAGAAAGGAAAAGCAACACCAGATTGAGAGCTACTCAAGAAGAAAACATGGCAAAAGAGTAGGCATCCAGGGAAAGAACAGAATGGAGTACCTCAGTCATAGCATCTTTAATGGAAATATATTACAGGTAAAATCATATAAATCCTGAAGAATTCAGTGACCCCAAATGTGTTATTCTCAAGGTAGAAGCAAAAGTAGGCTTACAAAACAAGCAATAGTGATGGCTGTTTGTGGGTAGCACATGTTTCCCCAAATATAAGTAGTTTAATAAACCCTAGACTGTTCATTTCCATTTCATTTAACTCACCAGATTATATATTCTCCAATTCATGCTGAGAACTCTAGTACCATTGAGTCACCTAGTCACCTCAACTCAAAGTGGAAAAAATTAAGGGACAAGTATGAAGGGCCTTCAAAAAATTTATGGAAAATTTTCATTAACGTTTAGCTCTACTTTTCCATGAAAATTTTGAAGTCCTCTCATATTTATTGAGCACCTATTCTGTGCTGGATACTACCTTTTCTGCATAGAAAATTTGAACAAAGTAACTATATAGCACCTAAACACCCCCCACCATCACTTAACATCTTTTTTTTTTTTTTATGTTTTATTGTGAATTGAGTGATAGTTTACATGGGAGAACATCAGTTTTGCACTCATCCTACCGTATTTCGTTTCATTGCAATGATTGCAATCCCCTCCATGCATTTTCATTCAGTAGTATTTGCTTCTGTTCCCTCTGGTGTTTTGTTGTTGTTGTTTTTATGTACACAAAAACATTCAGGAATATATAATCATTTCAACAACCCAATGGCTCATTCTGCAAGTCTGCCTCCTGGCAGCCAGTCTTTCTCTTTGCATGAGTCTTCAGCTGCTGTATCTCTCTATGTCCTCATTTCTGCCTCCATCTCTGGTGTCTACGCTTCTCTGGATAGGGTCCCACATTCCACTCATTCTCCTCTCCCTTGATGGTCCTAGGGTCCTCTGTTCCTGGAATGTAAGATAACTACTTCCCCACTTTTTGTTACAAAACTTCTACTTTTACAGTAGTGACAGTATAAATTAGCCATGATAACAATTACTCACTATGGATTCATAAGAATCTTATCCCCAGCTCCTTTCACCAGAGCTGTCTAGACAAGATGAAACCTATTCAGTGGGGATTCAGGCTTCCCTTGCACACTCTTGAAAACTTGTAAGCCAGTGACTTCGTGCCTTTATAGCCACCCCCCCATTTTAGGTAGCCAATGTCTAAGTTTCTTGTCCCTATTTACCCTGTGTACAAAGGGGATATGTTTGATCCTTAATGTGAAGACTTCTTTCCTCTCACTTGGTACTTTGAGCTCCTACATCCATAAGCATAGGTCAAGTTCCTCAAATTGTAGCAATTTACACTTGTTTCCTTTATCAAATTTCTTTATCTTCCACTATTCAAGTTCTGATCATCAAGCCATCATAGCTAGGTCAAATGGGTATTATCTGCTAGTTTGCATGTTCTTGTATGTCTCCTCTCACTTCATATCAGCTGGATACTTCACTCTCAGTTGTAGCCCTCCATGGCTATGTCCTTGTCCATGGGCTTAGGAGTCCCTAGGTCCCATCACACTTCGGACCAACCAACCCCTCCTCTTTTCTCTCTTATCTCCAGGTCGATGGGAGTCTATGGAATGTGGTTGAACTCAGCCCATATCTTCATTGCTGTCTTTCTTCACTTCCACTCACAAGTAGACCAGTATGGTCACCAGCAAGCTTACATGCCTGCTCATGTGTTCCCTTTGCATTTCAGTCTGGAAGCGGGGTTTGTTCTGAAGGGACTTGATTGTATGCCTTGATGGCCCCCCAGCGAACAACTTGCTTGTTCTTATAGTAGCCAATCAGACTGCCGTTTTTGTTTTGGATTTTTCCTGCTGGTCTTTCTTTCAAGAAATATCTTCTGTTCTTCTAACTGCTTCAGGCTGGTCTTCTTATCCTTTCCAGTGGGAATGGACCACCTCAGAAGGTTCTGGATGGTGCTCAGGCTCCACCTAAGGTCCTATACACTGCAAAGGCTCCGTAAGAGGCCTATTTCACTGGGCAAGTTCTAGAACTCCTTTTAGGTATTCTAATCAGTTATAGGCCGAAGACAGGCTTACAAGCTTTCTGTAATCATATTTCCTGATATTCCTTTCTATACCACTCAAGTGTCTATTTTATAATAGTAAGCAACATAAACCAATATTCATAAGACAATCAAGTATCTAAACATTATTTTTCCTCTTTTACCCATTTAGACTATACCTCGATCCCTGTATCACAGAGCCCTGTTGTTCCAAGGTTGAGCATACAAGGTTTATGCCATGCATACCTGCCTCAGTGTTCCCCTTTGTTGTTGTTAAGTGCCTTCGAGTCGCTTCCGACCCATAGCTAACCTGTACAGGGGTTCCGAGGCTGTAAATCTTTACGGGAGCAGAACGCCTCATCTTTCTCCCACAGAGCAGCTGATAGTTTTGAACTGCTGGCCTTAAGGTTCGCAGCCCGATTCATAACCACTACGCTACCAGTGCTAAGTGTTCCCCTTAGCTACTTTTTTCTTCCACCTTCCTCCCCCTTCTTGTGTATAGCCCTCCGCAACACCCATACTATGATGTGCCTATCTCTTACCCTGAGCTCTGCCATCCCATCCCTCCCACTCCTGGTAACCAACAAAGTTTTGCTTATTTTCTTTTAGTATGGGTATATCTTTTCTTAAACTTTTACAATAATGCTCTTATGCGTTATTTGTCCTTTTGTGACTGACTAATTCCACTCAGCATAATGTCCTCAAGGTTCATCCATGTTATGTGGTGGTTTGTAGCTTCCTTTTATTCTTTAAGGTAGCATAATATTCCATTATGTGTATGTACCAAAGTTTGTTTATCCATTCTTCCATTGATGGGCACTTAGGCTGTCTCCATCTTTTTGCCATTGTGAATGGTTCTGTGACAAACATTGGTGTGCATATATCTACTCGTGTTATGGCTTGTATTTCTTGTGGATATATACCAAGTAGAGGAATTGCTGGATCATAAGGTATTTTTATTTCCAGCTTTCTGAGGAAGCGCCATACTGTTTTCCAGAGTGGTTGGACCATTTTACAATCTCACCAACAATGTAAGAGGGCTCCAGTCTCAACACATCCTTGCCAGCATTTATTATCCTCTGCTTTTTTGAACTTATTGCTGGTGTGAAATGGTATCTCATTGTTGTTTTGATTTTGCATCTCTCTAATGACTAATGATCATGAACATTTCATCATATGTTTGTTGACTGCCTGAATGTCTTCCTTGTTGAAGTATCTTTTCATGTCCTGTGCCCATTTTTTAATTGGGTTATTTGTCTTTTTCTTGTAGAGGTGTTGTAGTTTCCTATAGATTTTAGAAATATGTCCCTTGTCTGATATGTCATTGCTAAAAAAAACTTTCCCATTCTGTGGGCTCCCTTTTTATTCTTTTGATGCACAAAAGTTTCTAATTTTTGGTATGTTCCGATCATCTATTTTGTCTTCTTTTGTGTGTGCAATTCTCGCAATATATGGTAGTCTATGTGTGCCCTTAAATTTGTCCCTATTTTTTTCATTGATAACCTTTATAATTCTGGGATTCACATATAGCTCTTTTATCCACTAACATCTGTTTTTAAATTTTATTTTTTAATTTGAAGATCTATTGACTCTGTATTTATTTTTAAATAAATATTAAATTAAAAATAGCTAATTTATTACAAAAAAAGAGAGAAAGAAAAGTCAAGATATTACCAACAATAGTATTGTTGTCTTGTTCTGAGACAGATGAACTACACTGAGTGGAAATTCTCAGACCTTAAAATCTCCACAGACAATGATTTAAAAACAAATCAGCAAAAGGAAGAAGCTATGACATCAGTTTGCACAGCATTGAGACAGAAGGAACCTCCTATGAATGGTATTGTCTTTTAAAAATCTAATTCTATTTAAATCATCCAATTATTTTATCAAGCCAATTATTTACTTTCTTCCTTCATCTTGCAATACTAAGCTTTTTATGGAAAATGAATACTTAAGAAGACCCTAAGCATAGTTTATGTTGCAAGCATGACGGTTAGGCCAACCAAGGCTGCAATTCTCATATGCAAAAACTTTCTCTATATTTGCATCAAGCTAACTTAGTTATATATTTTTTTTATTTGTAGCTTTGAGATCTTGCAATTTATAGTTACAAAGAAATAGGAGTGTGATTGATTCATTTGTGATGTTACTGCAAGTTTTTCTTAAATCAAGGTAAACCTTTGTCCTGTAATGAACAGTAAACTTAAATTCAGGTTATAGTAATGGCTAACTAGGTCATTCAGACCAATTGTCCATTGATGACAACTAAAATGCTAAAGTTAGTATATTAAAAAACAATTTTAATGCTTCCTAAAAGCATTAAAGAACCAACAAAGTGCATATCAAGGAGATGGTTGGAATATTATCCCTAGGACATTGCCAGTATGGAGAAGGCACTGAAGAGGCCTCAGTATGCTTGTGGTGGACTGTTGGGGTAATATAACTCTGCATCTGGCATCATCCCAGGGTAGGAACCCTGGCTAATTGCCCAGTCTCGCTTCTGAGACCCTGAAGCCAGCACCATTCTGAGCTTCTTTTGCTCTGTGAGGCAGAGCTCTACTTTGGGGACACGTACAAGACTGCAAAGCCATTTGAACTGCAAGGTTGGCAGTTCAAGCTCACCAGTTGCTCCTCAGAAAACCTGTATAGGGTCACTATGGGTCAGAATCGCCTCGACAGCACTTCACAACAACAAACAAGACTACAGGAGCAAGGGCTGGCATGATTTCCTCTAGGATTCCAGATATTGGAGTTATCAGACACAAACTTGGAGATTTTTCTCAAGTATTTGAGACTAAGTAGCAAACACCATGCCCCTTATTACTATATGTTTCAGTATTTATTGTCCTAATAAAGAGGAAATTCCATTAGGTAGCCACAGTACAATTATAAAATTCACAAAATTTGACATAGATACATTATCATGTAATATTCATTCCATATTCAGAATTTGCCAATTGTCACAATAATTTTGAAAGTTTATTTTTAGCTTTTATCCATGGATCCAGGATCATGCAATGCATTTAGGCATATCTTTAATCTGGAACAATTCCTTAGCTTTTCTTAGTCATAATATTGACATTTTTTAAGAGTTTAGGCCAGTTGTTCTATAGATTGTGCCTCAATTTGGGTTGCTCTGCTGTTTTTCCATAATTTGATTCAGGTTATGAATTTTTTATATTCAGGTTATCCTGGTGTGGTGCTGTAGTATAAGCACTGGGACTGCTAACTGCAAGGTCGGTAGTTCAAACCTACCAGCCTCTCCTTGGAAGCCCTATATGGGGTCGCTATGGGTCAGACCCAACTCAACGGCACTTCACAACAATCATCACAGAAATAATGTTATGTCGTCACTGCATCACATTAGGAAATATGTGATGTCAGTTTGTCCCATTATTAGTGTTGGTATTTTTCCTCACTTAGTTAAAAAGGCATCTGCCAAGTTTTCCCACTGTAAAGACAGCATTTTCTCCCTGTATAATTTTTTAATTATCTAGTGATTACGAATCGGGCTGCGAACCTCAGGGTCAGCAGTTCGAAACTACCAGCTGTTCCGCGGGAGAAAGATGAGGCGTTCTGCTCCCGTAAAGATTTACAGCCTCGGAAACCCTGTGCAGGGTCGCTATGAGTTGGAATCCATTCCACCGCACATAACAACAACAATGGAGTCCTGCGGTTCTGCGGGAGAAAGATGAGGCATTCTGCTCCCGTAAAGATTTACAGCCTCGGAAACCCTGTGCAGGGTCGCTATGAGTTGGAACCGACTCCATGGCACTTAACAACAACATGGAGTCCTGTGTGGTGCTGTGGGTTAACGCACCAGACTACAAAGCTGCTGAAACTGCAAGGTCGGCAGTTCAAGCTCACTAGCTGCTCTTCGGAAACCCTATACAGGGTCGCTATGGGTCAGAACTGACTTGATGGCACTTCACAACAACAGCAAATGATAAGATACTTTGAGAAGGTATCAATATCTGATTTCTTGTCAGATTTTGCCTAATAATAAAAAAAAGGTTTTTTTCCCATAAATCAAATATTACAATAGTTCAATAGTTACAAAAGTCACCACAAACTTGGGACTGAATCAATAGTAATTACACAAGTGCTAATATAGAAATTTATAAGAGACAGATAGGTTAGAAGGAAATTAAACACAACGGAAGAGAGAATTGAAAATATCTAGAATGAAGCAAGAAGAGACAAGATGGATAATACAAAGAAAAGGAAAAGAGATATAAAGGATACAATGTGAAGTTTTAAGCTACATTTAATTAAATATGAGGGGAGCACAGAGAATATTTTAAGACTCCCCAAAACTAATTTTTTTTAAATTTCTTTAAAAAATGTATCTATATGGGATCAAAGCAATGACAGCACCTAGAGAAATCAGATACAAAATGTAGGGGTTTCTATTAATTGGGGGAGGAACAATTCAGAGAATATCATCAGTGTCACTGAATGGTACATACAGAAATTGTTGAATTGGTGTATGTTCTGCTGTGTAGATTTTCAACAACAAAATAAGATAAAATAATGTTATTGCTACTGATGAAATAAAAAGCATAATGTGTGCATTAAAGACAGTATGTATGCGAAAATACTTTGTAGACTCTAAAGCACTATACAGTGTTTAGGAGTTGCAAATCAGCAACACATTTGTGTCTTACTGGATGGACACATGAGTAAGACTTAAAGAGGGGTCAAAGGTCAAACTAAGCAAGATACATCAGAGACAATGTCTCTGAGAGCATGGGTGTTGACTTCTGGCTGTACTACTCTTTGTACTACACTTGACATGACTCCAATTTAATGGCTGTAGAACCCAAGATACTGTTGCAATGGGTAACTTGGATTCTGAATGTCTTATAGAAAATTGGTAACACAGTTGACACTAAAAAGGATACTCAGTGACCTAGACTGTGAGCATCCTTGTATTTTGGTCAGTAAATTAGTGATAAAAGAGTGAATATGAGTTTATAGTTAGTCTAAATACATAATATTTCTGTAGTAATAGCCAAGTGGACAATTGCATGTATTGATATCAACTTTCCTAGAGAATATTCCCAGATTATAGGCAAACTCACAAATGGGTATTGATAAGATATGTAAAAAGAATTAGAGATTCTCATTTTCCTTAGGTCTTGTATTAAGCACCTATTGTTTAAATCCTGATGGGATTTTTGCTCTTTCCATTACTGGAATTTTTTGCCTGTCTAAGTATCTGTCCTTTTGCTTAAATTACTATTAGTGAGCCATGGAAGGTTTTATCCTCCAACATTTTTATTATGAAAATGTTTGAACATGGAGAGAACTGGAAAAAAAATTATAACCAACAATTGGCTTCAGCAAACATATATAAGCATATTTATCTTTATATCCACCTCTCTAGCCAACCATCAGAATCCTGGTGTGGTGCTGTGGATTAATGAGCTAGACTTGCAAAGTTGTTTAAATTTCAAGGTTGATGGTTTTCAAGCTTACCAGCCACTCTTTGGAAACCCTATACAAAGTCTCTATGGGCCTGAACCAACTCGACGGCACTTAACAACAACAACAACAATCCATCTATTGTTTTCCCTAAAAACTTGCAGAACAATATCAATCATAAACTTAGATTCAATATCCTTAATTTAAAAATTAGGAAACCATGTACAGAAAAATATAAAAATATAACAGATTGCATACTTTGACCAAATGGAATTTAGTCCAGATATTTTTGCTTATATGAAGGTAAGTCCAAAAGTATTACTACAAAATCATAGAAAACTTAACAAAAATATAGAGATGTGAAGCTATGGTTTCTCAACATCTGGGTCTATACAGTTCTGAAGCCTGTGTTTCCAACTTTCTAACCCTTTTTCAGAGAACTCTGCATACTTCTTTTATACCATGTCAAAATGGCAGTTTTGGTATCCTTGATGAAATTAAATCATGTTCCTTTGAAATGTTATTTGAGTTTTGAGAACAAAAACAGAAGTCTGAGGGGGCAAGAATAGGACTGTAGAGTAGATAGGGTAAGGTCTGCTTTAGAAATTCCTCAAGAATGAGCAAGTGTGTTGTCATGATGGAAGAAAATTCCTCAGTGTAACTTTGCTGGCCCTTTTCTCAGCAATGAAGTTTTCTATTTTATTAAAACTTTTTCCTAATAGCCCCTGTGGAATCCTGGTGTGGCACTGTAGGATAAGCGCTGGGCCACAGGTCAGTTTGAATCAAAAGGTTGGTGGTTCAAATCCACCAACCACTCCTAGGAAACCCTATTCAGGGTCACTGAGTTGGAATTGTCTCCATGGCACTTAACAACATTAAATCCCTGTGATTGCCTTGTATTCTTCAAGAAAATGTATCAGGATTACCCCTGTGGAATCCTTCTGAGCTGACCTCTCTGCCTTGAATTTAAATGGCCCAACAGATATCTTGGAAGCTACTGTTTTTATTGGACATTTTTTTGAAGGCGCCCTAATGCGATTAAGACAAGTGTATAAGTGTCTTTTGCAGTATAAGTGAAAACTTTTTTGCAGTCATCCATGGATCACAGAGACATATTTGAACGCCTTTATGTTTAGAATAAACCAGTGCATGTATGAACTGGAACCCTAGTAGCAATACTTTGTAATTTATCTTTGTATGTACGATGTTACGTGTTATTTAATAAGCAACACAGATGCCCTTCAACAATTTTCTCACCACTTGTCATGAGTCAGTTCTGACTCATATACTCAGATGCTAACTGAAAGGGTGGATGTTCAAGTCTAGAGACTTCTTGAAAGAAAGCCTTGGTGAACTACTTCCAAAATATCAGCACAGTTCTGCTGTGGCACATACGGGATGGCCATCAGCAATAAACGAGATCAATTAACTATGGCATATTTGCATAACAAAATATCATATACCAATAAAAAACAAAAGATTAAAAAACAAAAAAACCCTATAGTTACTTGGGACAAAAATAGTTTGGGGCCCTGAATGACTGGTCTCCAGTTGACATCACATCTCCCTGTGGGTGTTATATTCCCTATAGTAAAACAGAAGATCCGGGGCTTCACTCAGCCAAGCAAGACCTTATGAATAAGGTGACTTCCCAGTGGTCCTCAATGTGGCACTTGAGGAACAACGTATAGTGGAAACTTTTGATAGGGCGGCTCAACTAGGAGCTGCTGGATCTCTTTTCAAGATGGCCCACTCTAATGGCTGGCAAGTTGGTTCTATCTGTCAGCTGGGAGTTCAGCTGGGACCTCTGTAGGTTGCTTGAGCTTCCTCACAGCTTAGTGGGTAGGTTCCAAGAATGAGAGTCCTAAAAGAATAAGTCAGAGGTGTGTAGCAGGTTTATATTCCAGCCTCAGAAGTCATTTGTATCACTTCCACCATAATTTTTTGGTTCAGGCAACCATAAAGCTCCATCTCAGCTTAAGGAGTGGGGACATAGACCCCACCACTCAGTGAAAGGAATTTTAAGGTCACACTGTAAGAAGAGAATGTGAGATGGGAGATACTATTTGAAGCTATCTTTGGAAAACACAATCTGCCATACCATGGTTATACATAAAGAAATACTTTGGCTTGATTATTTCCTCCAGCCCTTACAAAAGGATGAACTTCCTTTTCTGTCCTTCCCACCTCCATTTTTCTTTTCAACTTCCTCCCTCCCGCCCTTCCTTTCTTCCTCCATCTCTTTTTCTCTTTCACTCACACACTCTCTTTCCCCCTCCCTCTTTCCCTGACTTCTTTCCACTATTCCTTTTCAGAAATGGTCTTTGTATTTGGCAACCTTCCATATAACAGGACCTTTGAAAAAGAAGGTTCGATTCTGAGTAAATGTAGCAGAAATCTTGATATTCAGAAGTAGTAACCAGGTAATGGCTGGCCATCTGTGTACTAGGTCTTTTGTTAGGTTGACCAGGGTGCTTTGTAATAGTTACCTCACTCCAATTTCTTCTCTAGCAGGTGAAGAGTCCTATGAAGAAGCTTCTGAAGTCAGTGATGCTCAAACTACAGATAATGATGACATCGTAGTGACACCTATATCTCAAAAATGTCCTAAGGCAGTAAGTAGCATACGATAAGTAATGATAGTTAATGTGCTTCAGAACCAATCCCCACGAAATCCACATCTGATTTTAATGAACATGATGGGAAATTCAAGTTTTTCAGTTAAATTTACATTGAGAATGAATGAAAGTTTACTGATACATCAGGATAAAAGGATCATTTTCTTCTTTTGGTGTCAATGAGGACTCACTTCAGCTCTTCTCTCTGAGACCCTCCTCTTGTTCGAATAACCTTCATTGTGTTCTGTGATTCATGCCAAGCCTGAATGTTGGCCCTTTACATCCACCTCAGAATAATGGGTTTACAGTTGAAGGTGGAGTCTGAAAGAGAGGAAAGGTTTCTACTGGGAGGAGACAGAGAAATCATTCTGTTTCTACTGTTTTGGGTCAAGCATTTTAAAGCTATAAAACCTGTAATTACAATTGTTTATTAAACATTTCAGACATGGTGACTCTGTAAGATAAGCACTGGGCTGCTAATTACAAGGTTGGTGGTTTGAGCCCACCAGCTGCTCCACAGGAGAAAAATGAAGGTTTCTGCTGCCATAAGGATTTGTAGCCTCAGAAATGTTATACAAGGTTGCTATGAATTGTAATTTGACTCTATGGCACTAAACAACAACATTAAACATTTCAGCCTCAATTTTTTTTTT